CCAGCCTGTTCAAGTTTTTGGTTAAACCACCACTACCTTTCGCAGCTGCAGTCCCATTTGGGAAAATGGCGTCATCCGAAAAAATCGCTGGCGGCCGGCCACTGATATTTTTCATCAGCGGCTACCCGCCTCTGAAACGAATGGGACCCACCCCACGAACGGAGTATGAGAAAGGTAATGGCGGCTTTGGGTAACTTCAGTAGAATCACAAAAACGAGTTTAACTTATAATTGCACTATGGGGCAAGATGCAGTTTGCAATTGCACTTCGTGCACCCTACCTGGCCAGAAAGTCGGCTTGTATACATTGCCTGAACTGCAAGTCGAAACTGTAAGGGGTAACTTTAGTAGAATCACAAAACGAGTTATAATTGCAAATGAACCGAACGGAGGGATTGACAATCACCACGGGTATTCTCAGCACCTTGGGCAGTAGAAAAACGGAATATTGTCCTTGATTTTCTACATGAATTTTACGGCCAGATACGCCTATGATAGCCAGTAGCTTGCTGCCCAAAATGCGGGCAGAAAAAGAAGGAAGTTCAACAAACTTTTTTGTTTTTGTTTTTAAACCACCAGTACCTCGACGTTCTTAGGCCGTTAACGTGGTGGACGAATCTGCCAGCCGCCCGGGGCCAAATTCATTGGAATCAGAGGGGGCCTAAGAATGCCATAGGTCTGGTGGTGGTTGCATTAATGGTGATACAAGCATCCCCCAATAGTACCAGCCTCCCAGACGGCTCCAATCTCCTGGTGGGGAGTCACACCTGCTGGAAACCGGCTCCAGCGTCAGATCTTTAGATACAAAAGGTACCGGGGCCATGCCCGGCTTCAGCTCCAGAATATGTTGAGATAGAGTTTCAGATAGTGCTCTGCCTGTGGAAGGACAAACAATCAAGTACGTAGCGGCATCACGAAACACGAGTCTTTCCTTTTCTCTTTTCTGTCTCTTGTTGTTTGTGTCTTAGGGCCTTTCTCCACCACTCGCCAAAGTCGCCTTTTGGTGAGCAGTCTCGTCGCTCCACCACTCACTGTGGCCATGGGTAGACTATTAATGCCCCCGAACTGACCCAGGCTCCCCAGTCTATGGATCTAGTCATGCACACCCTAGATGTCACAGGCAGTAACTGCCATTTCGTCAAAATGGGCATTTTGTATTTTTTGAATGAAATTGAAACTGACTTATTTGGCCCAAAAAATGTCAATTAAAGGATTCAGGGCGAAAGCCTTGAGATATCATCTTTGAACTGACTGGCCCAGGTAATTCAGAATTATTTTACTCTGTCCATCTGATTGCAACTGGATTCGAACTTGGGTGTGTGTTTCAGCAGTTCGGTGTTTACCAACTTCTTTAGGCTGGTTGGTCCAAAAAAAAATTATTATTATTATTTTTTTTATTTTTTTTTTTGGAAGAATCATTAACTTTTATTACAAATGAAAGGAGGCCGGGAATTCCTCACAAACAACCCGGAGAATATGAAACCATGCTGAAAACCGGGTCCAGCATYCCTTCCTTTCACTAATCTACTCTCATCTTCCAAAATCTCTTGAAGCTCAAGTAATTCCAYACCGGACAAAGCACCGTMCTACTTAGTGCTAAAATTCAAAGAAACCCTGTCAGAGCTAACTCTCCAGCSTGGTTCTACAATTCGAAACACTAGAGGAGGCAATGAACAATAAACTATGGGGATTAAGAAGATTAACAAAATTAACAGACGAATTATAAGCCAACCCMAAATTACAGCAAGATGCATACGAGTCTCAATTTCTAATTGTATAATTCCAATCACTAAGCCCGGACGAACAGACAAACCCCCCAAACTAACCCTGAGCTATCCACAGGCAATTCATGAGACAACATCCACCTTACTAAACACTAACCCCGAAGAGCCTGAGCTGCCATGACGGGTTTCCCACCACGCACCCTTGGATCTCAATGGGTATAACGACCTCAATGGGTACACCTCAAGTATGCTCCCCCTTGTCTCCCCTACCACTATCAGACCAGGAGCGTTCCCACTGTCGCCTCTCACACTCTCACTGTTCCGGCAACACCGCTACTAGTACTACCCAAAATGCCGTCCATGCCCATCCTGTGGTATTTACTCAAAGGAGTAGGGAAAGGATAACCTAATATCCAAATCGTTTTGTATACTAAATAGTATGAAATCACCCACCCTGGTCCCCAGAGAACAAGCCATATAGCACTCTTAATGTCCACAGGCTAGTCATGCGACCTCTTCCACCCAACTATGCAMTACCACRAAGAGCCTGAGCTGCCATGACGGGTTTCCCACCACGCACCCTTGGATCTCAATGGGTACACCTCAAGTATGCTCCCCCCTGTCTCCTCTGTTACCACCTCACCAGGAGCGTTCCCACTACCACCTCTTACACTGTCACTGTAATCGGCAGCACSGCTACTAGTATTGCCCAAAAAGTCGAGCGTGCCGCACCTGTGGTATTTACTCCACCAATTACTAAAAGCAAAGAATTAGACGAGCCACAGACCCCTCTTTAATGGGCAATAGAAAAAATACAACAAGGAACCAACACTGAATGACAAAAGAAAAGCGAACACCTRCCAACTGACTCCAGCATCSAACGGATATGCCCAAGTTGTTCAATATGCTTGTCAAGTTGTCAACACACAGCACGRAAAACAGTGAAATGACACTAGATAACAACTAGAAACATTACCCCATTCTAATCTGCTTCTGAAACTGGGCTATACCAAAGGCTAGGTACCCGAGTCGAAACCACCCCGACTACCAAGTTCCTCACGACGTGTCGTAGCAGCACAAGGMCTGCGGTACCACTACAGATACCRTTGCGATTCCTTCTGCCGAAACGAAGAAAGCTGAAGGTAGACCTGCACAGGAGGACGCGTCTCTACCTTGAATTCGACCTGCTGGAAGCGCGAGAGGTCCTCTCTCCTACTGCCTGCTGGYCGGCAACTTCAAGTGGGAACAATGACTGTACTCAGYCTTGAGATATCGCGTTTGTATAATCATGTACACTACCCAAGAGACCTKGAAGTACTCGAAGACATCACAAAGAACCAGAGACCTTGAAGTTGTCGAGGGGGAGGCSCCTCAGCGCCTGTATTCATTGATACAACGTATACATGCATCCTTCCCTAGTGACTGCCCTGTCTGCGCAGTAACCYGTGTCCCTCAGTCTTGCTAGCAGGCCAAACTCAATGTTCAATACCTATGATCAACAGCACGAAGCTCTCCTGCAAAGATCATGACGATAGTCTCACTTCGATGAATCTGGCCTGCGGCTCTGGCCAAATGCACTCGACACACTAGTCTACATCTACAGCCAGGTACATGACACAAATATGAGTACGATGAATAAGACAAATTGCCCAGCGTGCAAGTACTCAAGCTATCTATCCCACTACTGGAGCCTAGTAAAGAGTGCGCTGAATCAAATATCCCATGGTGCTTCTATCTGCTATCTATAAACCAAGAGCAAGCAAAAACGCCTTTGAGCCTGCTTTGTAATCAATGAATCTGTCGCATGAACAGGACCAGGTATGGAGCACAAGAGCATCACACATACGCGCATGGGAGGACTTCTTCCTTTGAATACAGCATTCATCTCGAAGCATACCGAAGTCAAAGCCATCGAGGCGCTCCCACCCCTGCTGCGCGCTCTCCCACTGCCCACAGCAACGCCACTGTCGATAGCTCTTCATCACGTATACCCCTAGCCCCTCCAAACGTATTGAACCAAAGATGAGGCCAGATACTTCTTCGTTAATTTGGCCAGATGCGATGTAAGAAATATTCAGCCCAAAGCAAGGCCGAATACAGATCTTCCTGTGTTTAAGATGACTGTTCATTGGCATGGTATGAATGGTTGGAATGGTTGGATATGAGGCTGCCGGGATGCCCAAACGTAAGAGCACAGAGGCGCTCCCTAGCCCACTCAAGAGCTAGGTTACGTTTGGGCACTGTACGCCATAGCTCTCACACAGCTATGGTGCCCGGCAGGGTAAGCACCACGTTGAAAGATGGACTTCCAGGGTTAAACGCTGCACTCCACTCGACCGCAAGTCAACAATCGGGCGCCGCCACCGCCACTATCGTTGGCGCACCGTTAACGCTCTTTTTCGCGCGGTCCTCTTTTTACAGTGCTCTGTTTTGCTTACCAGGTTCTGGTCCAAAATTTTTACCTCCTGAAGAACCCCCTTAATGTATCTGGACTACCTGAGTCCTTTTATATATATACATATACATATATATAAAGCCCAGGGTGTTGTAGAGGCCGGTTACTAGGCACACATTGATCGCCAGGAGCGGTCAGCAATGGTCGTCCTGAGGGAACGAGTCTACCTTCCCATCCCATCCTCATGTCAATACTCCTAGCGCACCTCCTATCTCTACTATCCTACCTCAGTGTGACCAGCACTCAGGACCATTACCCCTACTTGGTATCCAGGGGAACTTGGACTGAACAGTAGTGACAGGCACCAGGACACCGGCAGGGCGTTAAGAATGACGCACGACTGGACACACACTCCCCTGGGCTGACGCATGCGTCGCATGGTACTATTACAGACACTGCCTGCGCACCACCCGGGGGTCAGTCCATGGGTGTTGTATGGTGGCCTAGACTTCACGTTGGTTGCTGGTTGTTGTTGGCTTTGGTCGCTCTGAATCAGATCATCTCCCCCAGCCCGGACATTACACACATTATATCCACTTCCCACGGTAGTACATGTGGCAGAACCCTCCAGTTTCATACTGTTGGTCACAGGTTCGAGTCCGGTTCTGGACTTTGGGGGGGGTCCTGTCTAGATAGGCCTGTCTCTACCACATACACCCACACACAGAGATACCACCCCAGATAGCACAACCACAATACATAGTCTATCACATACCATACACATACTACACACACACACACATAGCTCAAGGTACACACACACACACACACACACACATAGCTCTAGGTACACACACATACATGTACTAGTGGAGGTGATAA